AACATACTTGGTCTGATCCTCCAAAAAAACTTAAGACAAGTAAGTATGAAAATCACACACCTTTGAATGCTAGTAAAGAACACATCTTGCAAAAGGTTTTAAAACTTGAATTGGTGTGTGTACCACCACCTCGACCATCTTTGGCTTTTCGCAATGTCATTTCTATCAAAACTACGGGCATTTTATCGACAAGTGCTAACGAATCAAAGCTATAATTGAGGAACTCATCTAATATAATTCTCTAACATACTTCATTCGTAATGACTCAAAGTTGTAAAACTTATAAAAATTATTTCTTACTCAAGATAACATAAGTATAAAAATTGTACCTTACTCGAAATCGCTCAAATATAAAAATTGTACCTTACTTGAGATTACTTATAAAAAATGTATCTTACTCAGGATAATACGAGTATAACAATTGTACTTCACTTGGGATTACATGAGTATAAACATTTTACTTTACTCGGGATCACACGAGTATAAAAATTGTATTTTACTCGGGGCCACACAAGTATTAAAATTATATCTTACTCAAGGTATCATGAATATAAAAGTTGTACCTTACTCGAGGTCATACAAGTATAAAAGTTCTGCCTTATTCAAGATAACATGAGTATAAAAGTTGTATTTTGCTCGATATCATATGAGTATAAAAATTCTACCTTACTCAAGGTAACATGAGTATAAAAGTTATATCTTACTCGGGATAACACGAGTATAAAAATTGTACTTTACTCAAGATTATACGAGTATAAAAATTGTACTTTACTCAGAGTTGCACAAGTATTAAAATTTTATACCTTACTCAAGGTAACATGAGAACAAAAGTTATACTTTACTCAAGGTCATACAAGTATAAAAAATTCTACCTTGCTCAGGATAACATGAGTATAAAAGTTATATCTTATTCCGGATCACACAAGTTATACATACCTTACACAGGGTCACATGAGTTATATATACCTTACTCATGTATATGAGTTATCAAAGTCTATATCTACCTTACTTGAAGTCACACGAGTTATACATCCTTATTTGGTATACAAGTTATCAAAACCTGCATCTATCTTATTCCAGGTCACACGAGTTATACATCATTTACTCAGGTATACGAGTTATCAAAATTTGTATTTATCTTACTTAGAGTCACACAAGTCATATATGTCTTACTCAAGTATATGAGTTATCAAAACCTGCATTTACCTTATTCTAAATTATAGGAGTATACATACCTTATTCGAATATACAAGTTATCAAAATCTACATGTAAAAAACTTTAATTGAAGCCACAAGTCTAACATTTGTATTGTTTATTAACAATTGCACAATCTATGAACGAAACAATTTGTAACTTCATAGTCATAGTATATGTGCACGACAAATGTAAATCATTTTCCAAATATATGAAGTTCTAGTCTTCACAAGACGATCTTCTTGAGCTCAAGGGCTGATGAGAGCTCTATAAAACTCTTTTCTCCTTTTAGTAAAGTTTTTAACCCATTCTCTTTGCATGACAAATAAATAGGCTCTACTAAGTAAATTTAACGAATATATCTTGGTTTAATCTAATAATGGTTGATAAAATAAAAATGTTCAAATCGAATACTACTTGCCTACATAATGAAATGATCAACTCAACCTAATTTGGCCTTTATTCTTAAAGGAATCGGCCTCCGAACTTAGAGGACTTGTGTACTTAACTCGAACTAAACCCATTAAAATCACTTTATTTATTAATTATATTGTTACATATTATCTTATTAAATTATCTTTTATATGTTATTTTGTATAATATCTTATATCAGTTATTATCTTTTTGGTTATTCTTATATTTTGAGTCTTATATAAAAAGATTCAAATAGAGAATAAATCTAATTTCATAATTCATTCTCAAATACATTATTTTTTTTTGTCTAAAAGCTTATTTGAGCATCAGAGTGTCTTTTGTAATGCATCTATATTCAAAATCTTCAATTATTTTCAAGTTGTAGCTCAGAATCTGATATACTAATCTCCTTAGTACAATCTCACACCGTCTTGTAAGAACAATAATTAAAATATATTTAATTTTTTATATATATTTATTTTATATTGATATTAAATATATATGAGTAGTTATTTTTTATAATTTTTCTTGAAAAAAATTATTTAAATTTGTAGGAAACTTTTGTAATTTTTTTAAAAAAATCACCACAAGAAATTTTATAATTAGCTAGAAAAATTAGCTACAAATTTCTTTTTTCACTAATTTGTAGTTAATTAGCTATGGAATAGTGAAAGAATAAGGTCAGTAGTTAATCTGTAGTAAAATAACTAGAAGACTAATATTTTTGTAGCTATTCTCTCACTTAGTAAAAAAATAATTTAGTTAGGAAAATTTTTGTCACTAATCCCTCACTATAAATATTAGCTATATTATTTTTTGAAGCTATTTCCTAGCTAAATTGTGTAACATACAATTATAGTTAAAGCTGTAGCAAATTTATAGCAACTATCAAATTAAAAAAAATATTAAATTATTGGGAACATTCTTATAAATTATTTTAGTTTTATAAAAAATTATTTATAAAAAATACTTGTAAATTTCTCTAAAAATATATAATTATAAAAAATAATTTTTGATCTTTTTGAAAAAAATATCAATAAAAATTAATTACAATTTTTTCTTAAAAAAATTATTTTTACCAAATTTACTATAAATATATAATTATATATATATAAAAATTATTTTTTTTATCTAAAATAAATTATTTAGAAATAATTATAATTTTTTTGAAAAAATATCTAAAAAATTTGATAAATATTTAAAATTATTTTTTGTAAGTTTTTTATAAATTTAAATTTGTTAGAAATATTTAATAATATTTAAATTAATAGAAAAATTTTATAAATAATAATTTTTTATAATTTTTTTAGAAACTATTCTTTATAAGAAATAAAAAAATTTATATTCAGAAATAGTAATTTATTTATTTTTTTATAATTCTTTTGATAAAAATGTAAATTATTTTTGTTTCATCTTCTTCATACTTAATTTTTTCAAACCTAACGCCTCTCTCAGTCCCGCCGTGCCGCTCGCTGCCGCTGCTCCCTGCCGCTCGCTGCTGCTCCCTGCCGCTCCCTGCCACTGCTCGCTGCCGCTCCCTGCCCCTGTTGTTGCCGCCCCCATCTGCTGCCGCTGCCGCTCTCGCTCTCGCGCCGCTCCCCTGCTGCTCTTGCTCCCGCTCCCACGTTGTCCTGCGCCGCGTCCGTTGCTGTCCTGCGCCGCTTCCGCACACACTGCCACTGACGTTTTCTCACGGTAATCTCTTTTTCATTTTGAATGTTAACCTATGATTTGAGTTTTGGGAGGTTTGATTTTATTCAATATGTGTTGTTTTATCCATCGTTAATTGTCTATCGCCTAATAGTTTTAAGTTTGTTGTGTATTATTTTTAGAGTGAACTCTGTTCTGTTGAGTAAGTAGCACTATTACGTATACCATGTTACAGCAATGCAGATTGATCCAAATAAAAGAAAATGTTATAAACGTAAAAAACAATGGTTAATTTTAAAAGAAAGTGTAACTCAGTATGAGGCCAAAACAATACCCAGGCACATGAACAGATATTGCGGGATAAGTAGAAGTATGATTACTTACCATCTATATGTTACAGAGAGAAGAGTGGATGATTTTGTTTATAGTAAGTAACTGTTTACTCATTCATATAATGGAGCTACTACAATACAATCATCTTTCCCTTATCTATGCCTATCTACCTATCAGGTATAGGTATAGCTTCCTTGTGATTTTGTGAACTGTGGTGTGTTTCCTTTGCGTGTCTGGAATCAAGACTATAAAACTAGTGTATAGTCTTGTTCTTTCCTTAGAAGTGGAAAATGGTGAATCCCACTTTTTCTGCTGGCAGATTGTTCTTATTGTATGGGGGTTAAAGAGAATATTCATTTACCATCTTCACTCTCTGTTTAGATTGTTCCACCCATGCCTTGATTTGTTTAATATAAGCTATCACACCCACATGTTTTATTTAAATTTATTCTCTTTTGATTGGTATGCAAAGGACACAAACATTTTTTTTAATTATTAAGTGATATCAATCTGCACCTTCAAACAAGATCATGACAAGCCACTCTTTTAAAACCCTAAAATATTTTGTCATGATTTGAAGCAGTTGCGTAATGATTAACAAATTTGCATGCTCATATGTGATAAGCCATGGAGTTATTTGGTTCTCATTAGACCTCATGAAACGCGTAAGTATTTAAATTTTCTTTTTACGTCATGAAAGACAATTCTTTTATTCATAAATCTAATTAACAAATTCTAAATGTCTTCATTTTTCTATAACATGTGTATTTTGCCAAATCATATTTGCCTAATGCCTCTTCCAAACTTGTGCAGTATATAAGACTCTGAGAAGTTCCATATCACATATTAAACTCTTCTGTGCGCATGAAACTATAAGCAATCTCACTCTTTACTATAAGCAATCTCACTCTTTACTACCAGGTAAGTCATATCTCACCCTTCTAATTAAATTCTCTTAATATTAATTGCTTTATGTATATGCTTTTTTATGTGTATATTTATAGATAGCTATCCAATGCACTCTCAGTTTTTAGTTTTGAACATTGGTTTGAATGGCATTACTGTTCTTTTGGTGACTGTTTTCACATTCAATAATGGTTGAAGTCTGTGTTTTGTTTTGTTTTTTTTTTAAGTTTTTGTTTGGGTTTTGGTTGGAGTGAATCAGAGAGTGTTGGCCTCACCACACTAAAAGAGTTTTTGGAAAGATAGACATGAAGAGAAAGAGAATGTGTAGTAAATGGTATGGGTATTGCGTGTGATTAGGGTGTTGAATGGGGTTGGTGTTGAATGGGGTAAACAAAGAATCTATATAAAGGTGGCACTTGGTTCACAAAGAGCATAACAAAACCCCATTTTGCAGTGAGGTTGAGGGGGAAAACAATGGGGCTGCTAATGGCCTCCGCCACACTCAGTCTTGTATTGGCAATTGTGTCTCTAAGCTTCCCATCTCAAATCTCAGCTGACCACTACATTTACTCGTCACCACCACCTGTCTCTCCTCCATACCACTATTCTTCACCACCTCCTCCACCAAAGAAGCCATATTATTATCACTCTCCTCCACCACCTTCACCTCCCCCACCAAAGCCATACTATTATCATTCTCCACCTCCACCACCTAAGAAGCCATACTACTACCATTCTCCTCCACCACCTCCACCAAAACCATACTACTACCACTCACCCCCACCACCTTCACCTCCTCCATCTAAGCCATACTACTACCATTCTCCCCCACCCAAGAAGCCATACTACTATCACTCACCGCCTCCACCTTCACCTCCTCCACCGAAACCATACTACTACCACTCTCCACCACCACCTTCACCTCCTCCTCCAAAGCCATACTACTACCATTCTCCACCTCCTCCTAAGAAGCCCTACAAATATCCATCTCCCCCACCTCCAGTGCACCCTTACCCTCACCCTCATCCTCATCCTCATCCTCACCCTCCTTACGTTTACCACTCCCCTCCCCCACCCCCTAAGAAGTCATACAAGTACCCATCCCCTCCACCTCCAGTACACCCTTACCCTCACCCGCACCCACATCCCCATCCGCACCCACATCCCCATCCATACCCTCACCCTCACCCTCCCTACGTTTACCTACGTACATTCTACATTGTTATAATTTTTCATTAGCAATTACCACTTTCATTTTCTCATTTAACACATATTTTCATATGTATACTTGTTCCCAAGAAATGAGACGACACTTTAACATCCCTATCAAGGTTTTAACTTGATGGGGAAAATGATTTTTAGGGTCTGGCTATAGTGAAGGGACCACTTCAATGTTCATTGTTGATTTAATAATTTTAATATTCTAACTCGAATAAATTAAAATATTTTTTTTATAAATATTAGCTTTTCAAAGTTAAATAAAAAAATCGAAATATAATCTTCTTTATCATCTAACATAGTAATTAATTTTATCTTTAAAATAAATGATTATGAGAGACTTATTATAATATTTACCCTTAAAAAAGTTATTTCTTATAAAAAAGTTATTTCTTATTAAAATTAAATTAATTTTAACAATTAGATCTTTAACCTTCATCTGTTTGTTACCATGACTTTTTTAGTTTTGTTAAACCAACTTCAAGATTAATGAAATCAGATCGAAGATGGATGTTACAAAGAAATAATCAATTTGGTATTATAACTGAAGAATTCAGAAATGGTGTTAATGGTTTTATTCAAATAGCGACAAGAGACTCAAAATTTGCTTGATGTAGCGGGCGTATTCCTTGCCCATGTGGAAAATGTAGAAATCGTTATTGGGATGTATCATTTAATGTGGAAAAGCATTTGTATCACCATGGATTTATGGATGGTTACACAAATTGGATCCTTCATGGTGAGGAAAGATGGACCGATGATGTATAAGGACAGAGATGTGGGTTGGATTAGTTGACATATGGGCAACAGAAGAATGGAAAAAGAAGTCCATTGCAGGTAAGGCTAATAGGGCTGTCAAGCCTGATGCCATGATGCACACAGGAGGATCAAGAAGCTTTGGACAACACTTGAAAAAAATGGTATTCATACTTTATACATTTAATACATTGATCATATAATTGTTAATCAATATTGATTACTAGTTATAAATTTAATATTAGGTTTGATGTTGGTATATTGATGTCTGAATCTTGAATTGTAAATTATTTCATAGGAAGAAGAACACAAACGTCCTATTTCTTATGGTGAATTATATAGCAAAGTTCATAAAAAGAAAGATGGTGAATATGTGTCTAACAAAGCAAAAAAATTCATTGTAAGTGTGTATATTTTATAAATATTAAATTTTGTTTATTTATAATATTGCTAAAATATTGATTTGATGTAGGAATCATATGAAAATGCTATGATTGAAAAATATGGGGAAGATACATCAAATCATCCTATAGTTGATTCGATATTTGGATAAAGACTGCTGGTGAAAATAAAAAAGGTAGAATTTATGGTATAGGTCGAGTTTGGATCTTGGTATTTCACATGTTTCATCTTCATCGGTTGAAGGTCCCTCTTCCCAAAATCTTACCACACCTCTCATCGAAGGAATCATTACCTTAGCTACACGAGATATCTAGTTTGCAAGAGCGAGATGAAAACACGATTGCGAGCACAAGCCGATATGCAAGCATTGATGCAAGCACAAATGAAGACACAAGCAGAAATGCAAACACTCATGCAACAACAAATGCAAGAAGAAATGCGAGTCTTTCATGAAAGATTTATTATCCGCCTTAAAGAAACAATGATGAAAACATACTTTAAACTTTGTTTCTATTTGTAATTGTGTTATACATAACTTTTTAGTTGAAATATTATTTTTGTTATGTTTTAATTGTTTGAAACATCATTTTAACTATGTTTAAACAATATTTTTATATTGAAAGTTGATAAGTTTGTCTTCTTTTTTAAGAATGAGTAATAATTTAAATCTTAAATATTTGATATTATAAATTTTGATAAAAATTATGAGGGATTAGCTATGAAATAGTAAGAAAAAGATTGTAAAGGATTAGCTACGGATTAGCGAAGAAATAATTGTGAGGCATTAACCACTAGCTAGAGATAGCGAGAGAAAAATTGTGAAGGATTAGCTATGGATTAGCGAGAAAAAAATTGCGAGGGATTAGCTACGGATTAGCGAGAGAAAAATTGCGAGGAATTAGCTACGGATTTGCGAGAGAAAAATTGCGAGGAATTAACTACGGATTAGCGAGAGAAAAATTGCGAGGGATTAGTTACGGATTAGCGAGAGAAAAATTGCGAAGAATTAACTACAGATTAGCGAGAGAAAATTTGCGAGGGATTAGCTACGGATTAACGAGAGGAAAATTGCGAGGGATTAGCTACGGATTAGCGAGAGAAAAATTGCGAGGGATTAGCTACGGATTAGCTACAAGTTTTGGGAGATCAAATTAGCTAGAGATAAACAAAATTTTATCATTTAAATTAGCAAGGGATTTAGCGACAGTTTAGCGACAAAATTTGCTACAAGTTTGAGAGAGAATACATCTGTATCTAATTAGCTACTTGGATTTAGCTACGGACTATTCCATAGTTATTCAGTAGCTAATCAGTAGCAAAATATATCGACGAGAGATTAGCTATAAAATAGCTACGGAATGTGTCATAGCTAATATGTAAAATTCTTGTAGTGAATTACAAAACTATTTTTGTGTAATATATAAAATTTTAGTAATGATTTTTAATAATTTAAAATAATATATTCATTTTTATCCGACAATTATTTTAATATATATATATATATATATATATATATATATTAATCTGTTTTTTTATATCTAAAATTTCTTATTCTTATTGTTGTGTAATCCAACAAATTATATGTAAATAGAAAATAAAAAAAATCTATGATTTTTTTTTAATTTATATAACTTGTATAAATCTTATAGTCATTGAGTGATCTATTTTATCAATATTTATTTATTATTTGATCTTCATCAAAATAAGTTTCCATCTTACATTTTATACATTAAAAAGAAAATATATATGCTATTTAAATTTAATTTCAATAGATAATCCAAAATAAAAAAAATAGAAAATATAGAAAACTCCGACTTATTGAAATTTATATAACGGGATATAATTATTTTAGTTATTGAGTGATTTGTTTTATCAAAATTAATTAAATATATTAGATTATTTTATCCTACACTATAGAAAGATAAGATTTTATCATTTTAAATTTTAAATACTTAATATATATTGTCAGTTATTTAAAAAATATATAAAGAATTTATTTATTTTTATATTAGATTCGGACCATTAAATAATTGATACAATCCTTTTTTATCAAGAGTTAATAACGTTCAAATTTAAATAAGTTCAATTTTCTTTCAACAAATACTTATTTTAGTTTTGTTTTCTATCACTATAATAATACCCAATGAATATACTGTAAAACTACATTTTGCAACATAATTAAAGATAATTTTTTTACTAATTATTTGTCGGTATACACAAGACAGAAAATTGATGAAATGTTTAATATGAACTTAACCATGTATCTTTATTTAAATATCTGAAATAAATGATAATAAAGAACTATAGAAAGGAAACTTGATATAATATATATAAAAATTAAATTTATGAATAAGATGTTTCAAAACTTTAATAACACCAACCATCAATTAAACATAGAAAGAATTTATTTAATATCACAAACTTTTATATAATATCTTCCAACCAAACTAATTATAAAACAAATAGAGCAATATTACCCTTTTTTATTATATTTTCATTCTCTAAGTACGAGTGAGATATTATATTTATTATATAATATATAAAAATAAATTTCAATAAATTAAAAAAGGGACAAACACAAAGATATATATATTAAAGATCCTAAACCCTAATCTAGCGCACATTCATGTTGGCTTGCAAAAAGAAAAGATAGTGACGTGATGATGAGATTTTGCGGAATGGGCCGAAAGTAGGGGAATTGGGCCTGAAGAGAAGTAAGACGGATCATCAAGGAAGAGTGAGAGAGGGGTAAGGAGAAAAAACGTTAGCTGAACGAAACAAAGTAATGACACAGAAATACACACCCCAATCTGACATGTGTGATTTTTGTAAGTAAAATTGTATTGAATCGTATCGCCTCAATCCTATATCTCATCCGAAATTCGCCGAGTCGAGTTCGACTCACCCACCCTAACTCGTTCTCTCTCCTCCTCCTTCGCCTTTGGTTCTATCTGTGAGCTACCCACCTGCCACTCTTTATCCACCACCTTCAACCACCCTCATTCGCATCCTTTTCGGTAATCAATCCCTTTTTCCGTTTCATTCTTCACTTGTTGTTACTTCCCGCAATTGCTGCTTCTATCGATTCTCTTTCCTCCTTCCTCTTTCGGTTCAATTTTTTCTCGATCTTTCTTTTCCCACCATTTTTCTTTTTCCCCTTTTACCTTGTGCATGCCCTTGTTCGTCTTCCTTTTATCCCCTTTCTCCTCACACCACAATACGACCTAAACCTCAACTTTTGTGCTTGCTTCTCTCTTGGTCGGAATTTTAGATTGAGATTTTTACATGTGCGTGTGTTTGCGTGCTTGCCTATTCAGGATTTTGAGATAAAACCCTCGTATTCTCAGCTGTTGTAGAGAATAGTAATAACAACAAACTTTCATCAGTTTGGTAATATGAATTCTTTAGCTTTCTTTTGCTTCCGGCTGTCTAATGTGTTTTTCATCTTGGTTTTGAACTTTTGATTTTTAGCTGGTTTGTTGTATGCTTGTTTATTGGAATCTAAAATAGCCTACGAAAGTAGCTTGTTAGTAGCCTATTCATTCGACCTTTTTGTTGTTTTGATGCAAGCCCGAGCTGTTATCCTTTTGTTTTCCTATATGCATATGATGGTGTCGGGTTGTTATTTTAATTTACTATGTGTGTGAGCAAGTATGACTGATGGGGCATTCTTCTTGGTTCAATGGAAAAACATATTTTTTTTTTATCAATATTTTAATCTGGTTTTTTCAACAGTTTGAATAGGAAGTGCTGGGGTGAGTTTTCAATTCATTCTTTCAGATGGCAGCAGGGTTTTTTTTTTTTTTTTTTTTATATATGTATTTCTAATGATGTTTTCATCAGCGCTAGTAAGGATTAGGGTGTTTTCCCTTTTGTTGCAATTGAAACCCCTTGTCTTCATAGTTCTGTACAAATGATATTTTCTTGGTGTTGTCACTTTATATTTGCTTTGGAAATTTTAAACTTGATGTTTGATGATTAATTGGAACTTCATTTTTCCTATCCAGAATTTGTATCTGATGTACATGCCAACACTTTCCAAAGTTGAATAATGGCTGTTGAGACTTCCGATAAACCAAATTTACCTCGTGATTTTGATGACGATGATGAGGCACCTTTAATTTACAAAAGGTATTCAACTAAGAAAAATCAATCACATTCAGAAGCAAGGAAGTCAAGTTCTCACACTCTTGATGGACAGTCATATAGACAGATGCCTAATGCACCTTCTTCGAATGGCCAAACTTCTAGCGTGCAGAAAGGTAATACTGCCCCATCTCTAAAGCCATCAACCATGAAGCCTTCTGTAGGTATCTCCAAAGCTTCAAATTCCGTCGTCAACACCTCCTCTGTGAAGTTGCCTGTAGCAAATTCAAAATCACCTTCATTGGCAGATAAACAGAAAATGTCCATTGATGTCAAGGTGGAACCAGAATCTATTGAACGCGGTGGTAAAATTTTGTGTGAAGATTCAGAAGATGATGACGATGATAAACCGTTGAGTTGTAGGTTGAAGAATTCTAACTATGACAAGAAAGTGATGTCTGTTGTCAAGAAATCTAGTGAAGAATCTGAAGATGATGATAATGTCCCTTTGTCAAAAAAGCTACCCGGTACTTTCAATTTGGGAACAACTAGCACTAACCATGACGACTCAGATCAGAAGAAGCCTATTTCTAAAATTCAGAAAGAGCGGGAAAATGGTTCTGGCATGAGGAATAAACAGGATAGGCCATCTCCAATGCCAGCTAAGAGACCACTAGATAATAGTAATTCCTTGCAACCTTCTGTTAAGAAGTCAAAGGTCTCAGTTCCTGATGCATCTATCAAAACTAAGCCAGTCTCTGAGAAACGTGAAATGAAGCTAGAGGATGATGATGATAATGTTCCTATTTCCCAGAGAATAAAGAAACAAGCCATGTCAGGTGATAAATCATCTTCCACGAAGAAAGTGTCAGCAAAGGTTACTAAAGTTAATAAGTCTAGTTCAAAACCTTTCAAGAAACAGACCAAGAAGACAGTTAAAAAATCAGGCAGTGGTTCAGAATATTCCAAATCTACCAAACTTCTTCCTAGCTCTGGTGATGGGCAGAAAAAGTGGACCACTTTGGTTCACAATGGTGTCATTTTCCCCCCTCCATACCAGCGGCATGGGATAAAGATGCTCTTTAAGGGGAGACCAGTTGATTTGACTCCTGAGCAAGAGGAGGTGGGATTTTGTCTCTGAAGACTATGTTCTTTATATTTTGGATGACTCTTTGCTCTTTTTCCTTTTCTTTTTTGATAAATTGGGATCATTTAAGTCCTTCTATGATCATGTGTTTTTGTAACTTATCTTTTGAGCTTTTACAAAATTACGAACTTCAAAGTTATTTTGCAGGTTGCCACGATGTATGCAGTGATGCGAGATACTGAGTACATGCAGAAAGATAAGTTCAAGGATAATTTCTGGAATGACTGGCGAAAGCTGCTCGGAAGAAATCATGTAATCCAGAACTTGAAAGATTGTGATTTTACTCCAATATATGACTGGTACCAAAGTGAGAAGGAAAAGAAGAAGCAAATGACCACCGAAGTACGTTTGTCATTTTCTACATTACACTTCATTTGACAATAGTAGAAATTTATATATTTGAGCATTGTCTGTTTTTTAAGCAGATTTTTTATTTATTTATCTCTTAAGTGAGAAGGAAAAGAATAAGCAATTGACCCCTCATACTACAGTTTTAATTTGTTTTACGAAATACTTACATTATATATGTGCCCGTCCCAATAAGGTGTACCTAGAATGGGAAATTAAAATCACAAAGAGGCACAACTCACAAAGGGGCAGTAGACAGGAAGGACACAGAGAATTCTCATTATAGGAATAAGAGAATTCACACATGGTTAAATGAGGGGGAAAGTGAGTTATGCTCATAAGGGAGTGGACTGTGAGCAGCCGAGGTGATACATGTTTAGTAGAAAGTTTTGTGGCAATTGTCTTTATTTTTTTTCCTTTACAGTATTCAGAAATTTGTTTTCTTTAAGCATTGTGTTACTGACATGCAGAAATATTATACGTCTATGTTGTTTTCCATATCTCTATTTATATGAATTTGTATTGTGCCAAGTTTGATCTTAGTTGGCCTGAGAGGTTTATTCTTGTCGTGTTTATTAATTTTGTTTTGAATATTGACCCCAATTTGTCTCCTCTTTATGCAGGAGAAGAAAACTTTGAAGGAAGAGAAAATGAAACAAGAGGAGAAATACATGTGGGCTATTGTCGATGGTGTTAAAGAGAAGGTTTAATCTTCTCACTCCCTCTAATTTGTGTAGATTTCTATATTTAAAATTTTCTACCGACTTCATGAATTGTAATTGGGTTATTATATTTTGTTAGGGGTATTGATGTTGCCTTCCCTTGAAGTTGTTGAGTTATTGTTATTGTAGTTGGATTTGGATATTCACTTACTTTTTATATCTCAATCCTCATTTAATGCAAGATTTGTGAAGTTATTAATGCTGACCAAAAGAATGTCAATTACCATCATGTTGCCAATTTAATACAGACCAGTTTACACCCTTCAATTTTGTGCATAATCCCTGCTGTTGGGGGAATATAAAGTGACTGACCTTTATGTTAAAATATTTAAGCTGATAACACATTATTAATTATGCAATCCATATTAAGATGGAAAAGGACGATAATCAGGTTTTCTCACAATATACTTGTTTTATTAAAGGTTAAACATAATTTAATGGTGTTATAACTAAGGCACATGATATTTCTTCTGGTATTTGAATGGTTTGCTTTGCTCAACAGAAGACGTCTTGTTCATAAAATTTGAATTTCAAGGGATTAATTGCACTTAGTTAAATCCTAAAGCTCAAGGTCCAAAGTTAAAGAGCTGAATTTAAAAGTATACTAACTTTTCATGTAAATTTAGTTTTCACTACTGCCATCAGTAGTACATTTCATTTTGCTGAATGATTGGTACTGTAAGGATACATATATCATTATTTCCATATTGTTTTTCTGTATTTTTTTACAACATTTGAAAATGGTTGTTTTTGGGAGTTGTTATGTGCTTGAAGCTCCACTTATTTCTGCTCTTTAATTATGTGGCATTCTATACAGTCTTTTACAGTCTTTTTCCAAATTTATTCATTATGAAACATTTTAACTTGTGACTAATTTTATCCCATCCTCTTTTTCAGGTTGGGAATTTTAGAGTTGAACCACCAGGTTTGTTCCGAGGCCGGGGAGAGCACCCCAAGGTTGTTATGATAGTTGTTACTGGAACTATTACATTTATTTTTTCAGATACAGTGGTTTCATATATAGTGACTTCATCTCAGAATTTTTATGGGCTTCTACTTATAATGTTTACTTGTTGGCTGTAATTTGTTAATAGATGGGAAAATTGAAAAGACGCATTCGTCCAGGTGACATCACAATTAATATTGGAAAGGATGCCCCAATTCCGGAATGTCCTATTCCTGGTGAAAAGTATTACTCCTACTAATTCTTTGACTTGGAGAAAAAATTTAAAAGATTATTGAATATGGTACCAAGTTAAGCCAGTTTTTCTAATCATGAATTGTGTAATCTTGGCAGGTGGAAGGAGATAAGACATGATAATACAGTTACTTGGTTAGCCTATTGGAGTGACCCTATAAATCCAAAGTTATTCAAATATGTGTTTCTGGCTGCTAGTAGTTCCTTGAAGGGTCAAAGTGATAAGGAAAAGTATGAGAAAGCTAGGATGTTAAAGGTGTTTTCATGTTTTGTTCGCAGCATTGTGAATTTCATGTTTTTCATTTGATATTTTGGGATGACATATAAAAAGAACTTGCCTAATTATTGTAGTTCTTGATTTCTTGGTGCAGGATTATATAGGGAATATTAGGTCTGCATACACAAAAGATTTTAACAATAAAGATATTACGAAGCTGCAAATTGCTGTTGCTACTTATCTTATTGATAAACTAGCTCTGAGGGCTGGTAATGAGAAGGTATTATGTTGGTATATGCACTCACTCTCATTTGTTCTAACAGCAAGTTACCCTCTTCACCAAAGCATACATATACATACTCATGATGTCAAGACACATATAGATGGTTACTTTGTCAGCATTTGATTTTTATTTTTATTTTTTCCATTGGACTCTATAAGTGCTTGCGAATTTCATTTAAACTACCCCAATATCTAAAGAGTTAATTAATAATGTACTGCTTGAATATTTTGTATTTATTTTCTTGTTTATAATATCTCTCTATATATAGAAAATAGAATAGGAGTTGGCAAAGGAATGTAACCTGAGTAGTTGTCACTAAAAGTCCTGGTTGTTAGCCTGAATAAATTTGGATAAAATTTCCTGAAGAAACTATTTGCATGTTAGTCTTTGTTAGTAAATGCCGAGGAGGTATTCTTAGCTTCAATTACTCTTATGTATGAAAATCTGCTTTAAACTATATTAATGTCACATTTTTTATAGTTGAAAATAGCAGTCAATAAATTCTTACATTCTTTGAATTTGTTGAAATGATTTGGTCCTACTATGAAGCTTTCATAGTTTGTTTGATTGTGTTCAAAGTAGATGATTACTTTGATTTTAGTTGTTAAATTTGGCATTTCTTAATTGCATTGCTCAGGATGATGATGAAGCTGATACTGTTGGTTGCTGCACATTGAAAGTAGAGAATGTGACAAGAGAACCCCCCAACAAACTCAAGGTATTTGGGTTTCTAGTTAATTTCACTGTACTGTATGTTATGGTTGATGAGTTATAAGTCCTCCAGGGGTTTTCTAAGTTTATTAGTCCTTCTCAGTTTGTTTTAATGGTAGTCTCCCTTGATAATTATAATTGTTAGTAAACTTGTCTCTCTTTTGTTTTATACAGTTTAACTTCCTTGGTAAAGATTCTATCAAGTATGAAAATACAGTTGAGGTTGAGCTTCCTGTATATAATGCAATCTTGAAGTTACAAAAAGGTGGGAAACTGGCCATTATTTTTTTTTTTTTAATGTTTAAGCATGAAACTGAAGCAGTTAATTGTTTCCCTCTGACATTTTTAGATAAACGACCTGGTGATGATCTTTTTGATAAGCTGGATACAAGTAAATTAAATGCTCATCTGAAGGAACTCATGCCTGGTCTAACCGCAAAAGTCTTCCGTACATTCAATGCATCAATCACATTGGATAATATGGTATAATTGATTGAAACTTCCTGATATTCACATTCCTTGTTGATAAAATAAAGAAAAAGGAAAAAGCTAATTTTCTTATATAACCTCAGCCTTAGTGTACTTTGTTATTTGATTATATGCTTGATGTTGGAATTATTTAATGTGGGACCTCCCACCCCCCATAAGAAAATAGTTAAGTAGCATGCCTTCTTTGAGAGTAATATACCAAAGCCACTCATTTCTACGTCTTCAGATTTGTCTTGTTCAGGGTCATATAAAAATTTTTCTACACATTTCGTATACAATATAATGGCTATACACAATTGCAAAAATGCGCTCGATTGTAAAATTCTCGCAATTCATGAAATTGTTATGCATCCCTTGAATGCTTTTGAAAAACTCTTATGCTATCAATATGCTCTTAAGTCAAACATATGTTTATTATTGGATCATGTATATACTATGATTTCTTTTATTGGGTACATTACAGACTTACACAATTGGTTTTTGTGGAATTATGGAACAGTTAAATAAGGAAACTAAAGATGGAGATGTTGGGGAAAAGATTGTTGTTTATCAGCATGCAAATAAACAGGTGAATTGTATGGAACATGTTGCTTAGTTTTACCTATGATATTGCAATTTTTCATATTTAAGTTGTAACAACTCGTGTCTTCCATAACAGGTTGCTATCATTTGCAATCATCAACGCAGTGTTTCAAAATCTCATGATGCACAAATGTCAAAGTTAACTGAAAAAATTGATGAACTTCAGGTATGTATAATGACAATATCCGAAAATTGCTAATCTGGGACTGTATTGGTATGTGTGACCCATTAACATTTAGTTGCATTTTGGGTTATCTTTACTTGTAGGCTGTTCTGAAGGAGCTGAAAACGGATTTAGACAGGGCAAGGAAAGGAAAGCCCCCTTCAAAGAGTTCAGATGGAAAGACAAAGAAGAACTTGACTCCTGAAGTGTAATTTAGCTTTTCGTAACATCTTTAACCATTGCTTGTTTCAAAATGATGTATGATTGTGGATTATGTAATCTACAGGCTAGAGAAAAAGATATCTCAAACCAATGCGAAAATTGAGAAAATGCAACGTGATATGAAGACAAAAGAAGATTTGAAAACTGTGGCATTAGGCACATCCAAGATAAACTACCTTGACCCTAGGATTACGGTTGCCTGGTGCAAGCGGCATGAAGTTCCGATTGAAAAGGTGCTGGCTTCTTCCATTGTTCAGATTATGTTATTAATAGTGTTTTTTAATCAATTTCAAGATGCAGGGGTGATCTGGTAGGGCCATGTTCAGGCCCAAATTTTTTTAAGTATTTTTTGTTCAGGAGAAAATATTTGTTATATTATTATTCTTGCGCCTTACCGTAAGCTAAAGTTTTGGCTTTCCCGTCTGGAAATGTAAATATTTCTCCCTTTGGAGGCATGTTGCTGCTTATCGGAATGGGACTTGTACGTTGCCCCAATAGTTAGCACTAGTTTCCATGGGCTGCATTTTCGATCTCAAAACTGACATAGCTCTGATCTTATGCTTGATTGTATGTCTTCCTCGCTCTCATTTTGTTACTAATCTCTGCCACTTGCCTCAATTGTTACAGATTTTCAACAAGTCTCTGCTGGCGAAGTTCTGCTGGGCAATGGATGTGGATCCTGACTTCAGATTCTGAGAACTATGTTGTGATGCTGGGGGAAAAACAGTTTTTATTTTATTTTTTACTTATTTCTTTTCTATAAATTTTTTCTTTTTTTCTGTTTTATCAATTTTAACGGAAATTGATGTTGTAAGTCCATCTAATCTAATTATGGGGTGAGTTTCCCCGTTTCTTCATTGACCAGTTTTATACTTAAACTATTAACCATTCATAGTCATGATTTTAATGTGATACACATTGGCAAACCTGCAAAATGAGGTATAATTTTGTTCTTTATTTTGTTTATTATTCTGTGATTGGTACTTGTTTCTATATCACGATGTAGAGTTCCCTTTTGTTTTAGCTGGGTACAAATTTGCAGTTTTGAATGGGTCATTATTGGTTAGAGATTTATTCCGCCATTTACAATGTTTGCCAATGCATGTTCTTTTATAAAGAAAACTTGAATCTTGAATAAATTATTAAGAAAACTTGAAATCTTGAATAAATTATTAAGAAAACTTGAATCTTGAATAAATTATTAAGAAAACTTGAAATCTTGAATAAATCATTTAGAAAACTTGAATCTTAAATAAAGAATTGTTTATGACGTAAACGAAGTCTGACGTATTGAGGGCTTTGACAAGCAACTTGCGATTTTTGTGAAGGTTTCAATTCCTAAGATATTAGACAATCAATCATGAAACAGTTTGTTGAAAGTGGAATTTTCATTGGATCTTCGAAAATAATTGTTTGCAAGATTAACTAAGTTTTTAATTCAATTCGGTTTCATTTGGGATGGGCCAGATTAAATGAAATAACTTATCTACAAGTCAATTTGATCTAAACTACAAATATTATTGACCATCTTGATTAGTTGATTTGATTTTATTCCAGTTACATATTAGGAGGAAAACATTAGGACGTTGAAATTTTCTATAATTTTTGGAACTATCTGGGAATTCCTTTAAGGTCTAATTTATCAATGAAATCAATCTAAAGTAATGGAAATTTACGGCCAACACATAACAAAAGTAATTTTAGTTTATTGGAATAGCTTATCACTCGTTTTGATAATTTTGTTATAATTTCTGATGTTTGAAAACCTAAAAAAAAAGAAGAAGCAATTCTTATTCCATTTTTTCAAACTTTGTGATAATTTTGACGAATTAATTAAATCAAAATTGAAAAACATGTAAATAATAGGGTTACTACAGGGACTTAAATTCGTGTGAATTTATTGTACTTATTAATTATAATATGACTTACATTACAAGCAACCGTGAAAAAAACTTCATTCATTCTCATAGTTTACCACATACTCGTTCTCATACATCAAAACTTCGTTCATTCTCACTATTTCCTGACTTTGTCTTTTGCTGATTCTCAAATCCATAAGTAACCTTTTCTTTTCTCCCTCCCGAATGGGCCTCCCAATTCATATTAAACTATCTCAAATTTTAATTATAATTATTAAAACGTTACATATATTAGTGATCAGTATTATAAGATCAATTAAATATTAAATATTTTAGTAAAGATAACGCATGCGTTATAAGTTTTCTGCTGTTAAATTACAAGCAACCATGATAAAAAGTAACACTCAAGTTCCAGTGAGTAACCCACCCTTTAAGTTTTCTTCACATAGTTTTGGTGTACAGTTTACCTCACATATGGAAACCTGGTTCACTCTCACTATTATGTGCCTTTGCCTTTGGCTGATTTTCAAATTCACACGTAATGTCCTCTTTTCTCCCCTCCCTCCGGGGCCTCCCAAATGCAACTTTACATTGCTACGACGATACCTCACTGACCCCAAATCCATTCTTCAGAAACTCCTTGCAATATATGGTCCAATCTTCACTGTTCACGTTGGTTATTTTCACACTGATATTTTCATCGCAGATCGCTTCCTTGCACACCAAGCTTTGATCCAACAAGGCACCATCTTCGCTGATCGCCCCAAGGCCAATCCCACCAACAAGGTTATTAGTTGCAACCAACACGACATTCTTTTCAGCTTCTATGGCCCCAAATGGCGCCTTCTTAGGCGCAACCTCACTTCAAGAATCCTTCACCACTCACAGGTTAAGTCCTATGCACATGCACGCAAATGGGTCTTAGAGATGCTCCTAGAAGGCCTTATATCTGATTCTGATGCCGACAACCCAAAAAGGGTCATTGACCACTTTCAATATGCCATGTTTTCTTTGCTGGTTTTGATGTGCTTTGGTGACAAACTCGATGAGAAGCAAATAAAGGAAATTGAGGACAGTCAACGTGACATGCTTGTGAGCTATGCTAGATACAGTGTCTTGAACTTTTGGCCACCAGTTACTAGGATTTTGTTCTGGAAGAGGTGGAAGGAGTTCTTGCAGAAGCGGAGAGACCAAGATGCTGTGTTGATTCCTCACATCAATGCTCGAAGGAAAGCTAAGGAAGAGAGAGTAAGCAATGGCTCAAGTCAGTCGAGTGAGTTTGTTTTGTCATATGTGGACACTTTGTTGGATTTGCAAATGTTGGAGGATGGGGAGGGGATCAAGCTTGATGATGGTAAAATTTGCACCTTATGTTCGGAGTTTCTGAATGCTGGATCAGATACAACTTCAACTGCATTGGAATGGATCATGGCAAATTTGGTTAAATGCCCCGAAATCCAAGAAAGGGTTGTGGAGGAAATTAGAGGGGTGATGGTCAGTAGAGAGGATAGGAAAGTGAAGGAGGACGATTTGCATAAATTGCCTTATCTCAAGGCTGTGATTTTGGAGGGGTTGAGGCGTCACCCTCCATTACACTTTGTGGCTCCTCATAGGGTAACTAAGGATGTTGTTTTAGATGGTTACTTGGTGCCTACCTATGCCTCAGTGAATTTCTTGGTGGCCGAGATAGGGAGGGACTCAACAGCTTGGGATGACCCCATGGCCTTTAAGCCAGAGAGGTTCATGAACATTGGGGACCAAAATGGAGGCACAACTTTTGACATAATGGGAAGTAAAGAGATAAAGATGATGCCGTTTGGGGCAGGGAGGAGAATGTGTCCTGGCTATGCTTTGGCAATACTGCACTTGGAGTACTTTGTGGCCAATTTTGTTTGGAATTTTGAGTGGAAGGCCGTGGATGGGGACCATGTTGATCTGTCAGAGGAGCTGCAATTCACAACAGTAATGAAGAATCCTTTGAAGGTTCATATATTACCTAGGCAATAGTTACTGTGAATTATCAGTGACATTAATGTGTAAATTTTCAACCATCTCTTGTATTTATAATTAACGAGAATAAAATTAACTAGTAGGAAAGAACGTCTTTTATGAAACTTATTTGTAAAGAGAACTGAAAGTCTGAAATGTAGTAGTTTCTTGGATCTTGGCCTGACTTTGTCGCCTCTACCTGTGAAATGACAGTTTTAAGTTTTTCAAAAACCATAGTCCTCACACCTCTACGTTTTTTTATTATTATGCACTAATTGATGCCTTTCAAGCTTCAAATCATACTAGTTTCAGGTTTTCGGATCACCGCAAACCCAGCTACTAAAATAGAAAGAGTGTTTGAAAAGGGTGACAAAGTTAAATAAAACAGCAAAAAAATGGTAATAAAATTTTAAGTGGAAAAATAAATTATGAATAATATGAATGTTAAAACAATCACACTACTCGTCTAGTTTAATAATTGTTTTCTATTTACTTTCTACAAGACAAAAATTGACTGGTATATCAAATATCAGTTTGAACATTATTGATAATTGCCTCCGAGCTGCGAGATCCATCTGCATCAAGCAGATTGCATTTGCTTCCACACATTAGGGATTAAGAATGGACTAAGGAATATTTCAGGATATATAGATATCCTTTGGTGAACTTCCAGGATGCATTTGATGTCTGAAAAGATCAACCAACATCACACTTCAAGATGGTGCAAGGCCTCTTTACTTCCTGGATTACTATTTTCTGGAGCCTTAACTGCATCTCTCTCTAAATATTGAATAAACTCCATTACCAAAGGATCAGTCCAAGGGGCTCCAAGTGGAGCTTCATCACCAGCAACCCACCCTAGATGGCCACCTTTGGGTGTCACTATTAACAAGCAGTTTGGATTTTCCTGAGATGATAAACAGTACTGTTATAGTTAAAATAAGAGTCAAAATAAAATGATTGAAAATTAAATAAAGACAAAAGGAAATGATGATGATTTGACAAAAAATAAAAATAAAAATTGGAGCTTGTTCAATCAGCCACCACAAGGGGGGGAGAAAGATCGGTGCAAACAAACCAAATAATTTACAACTACTATCTTCACAACCTAGAGAGATAATGTAGATGATTTGATAGGATGCTTGTTAAGTGGTAAAAAGTTGATATAATTATGCCTTGAATTGTTATGAAACCACTTAACTTATGGATATTCTAATATATTTTTCTCCTAATATAGGATGAATTTGAGAATACCTTGGTACAAAAGTAAGGAGCATAATTGTCAACATAATTGGAGTAAAATTGAAAGAAAGAAGAGCGCTTAAGCGAATGAATAATGCGAGGTCCGGCCTAAATTCTCTTATAAAAAGATAAGTTGTGTTTTGAGAAAAGCAAACAGTCTTGGAGGAGAGGAGACACGACTACTGTTAGGGTTTTGTCTAATCTTCATCAATTATTCACTTCTTCATCAATTGGAGCATTGTAATGGCCAACATAAGTGGCTAACTTCATTCTCTTAGGATTCGGTGCACTTCCTTTGAACTCTTTTGTATCATGGTGATATTTTGAGATCTTAATCTATGTTTTGATGTTGTTATTTTTATCCTTTATGCTTTGGAATGATTTATTATTGATTGTTTGAGGTATGATTGGAAAATATATCTTGAATCCTAGATCACGGTAAAAATATTTGTTACGTTAATTGCCAGGAATGGAATGAATGTACCAATTGCTTAACACTCTAACCCTAATGCTGAAAAATCTGTTAATTGTGTGAGGAATCAACATTTATTAGGTTTTCTTATGAATTTCATGTGTGATGAATCAACATGGATGATTTGAGTAGGTGACATCAACATTGTTAGGTTAATTGACGTTCTTAATTGACATAGTCATTACAAAAGAGGGATCAGGAAGGAAGTCAATCCTAAGCACTTTTAATTGATATTTTCTCAACAATTTACAGTTCTTTGTCATTTAATTTCAATTCAACTCTTATTTGCAAAATCTAATCTGTTTTAATCTACTTAGTAAGCATAATTGAGAATTTCTATTGAAACCGTTCCTTGTGTGATCGACTTTTATTTAATTGAAATACTATACTACGATTGATAATTTGGTACGCTTGCCAATAATTGCCAATAATTCAACAATGTTGTAGCATAAAGAAAGAAAACCACTCAACAATGTGATGGTAAAAGACCATTATTATCAAACACACTGAGTTTGGTATTACGAAGAGGTATTTGGAACTTCTGTTGGTCACACAATTAATTCTCTTCCCACCAGGTTGGATCATTTGTGAGTGAAGATTTATTTCAAGTTGCGATTACATTGTGTACTTTGAATGTTATCAAAACACATTTTAGTCAAGAATGGAATGGTAACACTAAATTTCATAATCCCACATCTAAATACAAAATTACATACCTCGATATCTTCACGAGGAATTCCCCTATACGGAGCAATCGGATCATTGGCTGCCTGAAAAAAGTAAGAGATTCTGAGTTCAATCATTCATTTATTCACAACAGAAGGTGCAATAGCTTGATTTGTAATAATAAATGTAAGTCTAAATTGAAGATTCATTTCACAATTCCCATATAATTTCTTCTTCCTTTGTTGTATAAGGAGAGCATTGTGTCACTTCAAGAGAGAAGGTATAACAAGTTCAATAAATAGAGTTGAAAAAGCATAAATGACAAAAATATTAATAACAAATGTAAGGAAGTATATAGGTTTCCATTTCAATTTTTACACAACTAAAATACCATAAGAAACATAGATAAATTATTTTGAGTCAACAACAAGTTTTACCTGAATGCAAAGCAATGGGGTTTTAACATGCTTTATGGAATCTGAACTGCTAGAATTAGAGTAGTATTCATCCACAGACTTGAATCCAAAAGAAACTGCGAAGCCTCATAGATGAGTATCTGAGCATACATAATTCACAAGTGTTATCTATCTATCTATCAAGCTTCCATTAAATAGGGGCACATACCACGGGTTAGTCCATCATCAAATTCCCTAACAGACTTGGCGTTGGCTGCCATTGGAATATTATATTCACCACCCATATCTTCAAAGAGTAAAGCATGCCTATACTCAAAGAAGAAAGATACAAGATCTATCATAACCAGCAAATGGATCCATTAATAAATAGCTAGAATAACCACAATAACATATAAATTAGTATCACTTCTTGAAAATCTTGCAAAGAGCCTTTGAAAGGGCCTTGTCATAAATAACGTTAAAGCCCTTTCGGAAGTCCTCATCAGCCACAACTAAATTGAAAGGATTACACAATGATACAGCGCCAGAAAGAGGACAATTGTGAGACTCCTGAAAATAGCAATAGAAAACATAAATAACATGACAGAAGCAGTATTCAATGGATAAAGGCGAAGATAATCCACCTAAAATCACTTATAATTATTTCCATTGTGGGAGTAAAGTGTGATTTCAATCTCCATACCCCCTTTTTTTCCGCACAAAGCAGGTTTGAGGTAATCTCCTCACTCAAACAAAAACTCCTTTACTATTTTTCAAACCATGTAAACCACCACTTTGATCCTTAAAGCATTATCTTCTCTCTTACATGGTCCTTAAAGCAAAACAAATTACCTTACAATCCCCGAAGTATTAAAAATCATTCTTAGTAGTGTCTTAAATCTTAATAATCCCTTCAAACTGGTCAATAAAATTTACTGAAATACATAACATAGATATTCAATACTTCAGGGATTACTTAAACTAGTCAATAATATTGAATATTCAATATTCATTACTTTAGAGACTATTTGGGAGTAAGAGTCAACATACTGTTGATTCCTAGTTATGCCTTCCAAAACAACAAAACAATATTTTACACCAAAACCTGAAGCAACACAATGCATTTATTTCTTTTTGAAACAAATTAACGCAGGAACGATCGATAATGCTACCTGACCCAAGTAACGAACGAGAATGTTGGCCCCAAGAGACCATCCAACGGCATATAGATTAGCATTCGGGTATCTAGCAGTAACATGGGAAACAACGTCCCGCATATCTCCTAAAAACGAAGCTGAATAGAACTGCACAACAATGTTCACACATGAGCACAATCACTGTCATATAGTAGTTCTATTCATCCAATGTCTCATATTCAGAAGAATCCCCAACACTATATTTAGTGTTATTAGCAACAACAATATTGACATGACCTGAGGAGTAGTAACAGGGCTATCTCCACAACCGCGGCTGTTGAACACTACAACACGCCATCCATTCCTTCGAGCTCTAATCAACATGTGTCTCACGTAAGCATCTCCACTACCTCCTGTTAAACCTGGCTGCACAAACCCCATCAAAATTTTCAACACCCCATGACTTCAAATCAACAAAAAAAGTGTTATATATCGTTTTTTTTTTTAGTTACAACAGACCAGCAAGATTAAGATGGGAGAGTCAGGGGGCAGACGGCGGTCGTCGCCGGCGACCCAGTCGAGGGCAACGGCGCCGCCGTCATGGGTCCGGAGGCACTCGCGGCGGAGCCTGATGTCAGGGACGGAGCGGAAGAAGGCGGCGAATATGGTTTCGAGGTGGCGGTTGGCGGCGAGGAGGGGGTAAGGGCGGTAGGGACGAGACAAGTGGGGAAGGGATGGGAGGAAACGGTGGTGTGCGCCGCCGAGGACTTCGAAGGAAGGATGGGTGGTGGTGGCGGCGGCGGCAGTGGGCATGGGTGTGGTGGAGAAGGTGACGTGGCGGGCGGAGAGGGAGAAGTGGAGGGGTGTGATTAGCGAATTAGTGGTGTTATTGTATGGGCGAGAAAAAAGGGGAATGGACCCCACCAAGGACTTTGTCATGCTCTCTCCTTACCCTATTGGCGGACACTATCTCTCTTTTTTCTTAATCATTTTATATACTCAGTTTGTGCTGTGCTGTGTTACCACTTTTACTTAGAATTTTTTTATTACAATAATATATTTGTATATTAAACTATGACACGTGTTTAAATTCGATTGGAAATCTGATTGAGTAATTTTAGATGATTTGAATTGATTCGTTGGATTGTTTGGATAAGAAAAAGAGTAAAGGTGAAATTATTAAAATATTATATTTATTTTTAAAATTAAATATGGTAAAATTTAATTTTAATTGATTATTATATTAATTTTAAAATTATTTTTTATTTTTTAAAATTTATCGATTTTGTTAAATATAATATTTTAAATTCATAATTTAATTTTAGAAAGAAGAAATTTTATTTGTTAATATTTTGAAAAATATAATATTTATTTATAAATTTTATTTTAATAAAATTAATAAAAAAGTTAAATATAATTCTAATATTTTTCTATATCTAAATGTAATATTACTATTTTTTTATTAAAATCAATAAAATAATTAAATTCTTTCTTTTACTTCTAAAAAATATTTATTAAATCTTAAAATAAAAAGATAAAAAAAATTATTTTTACGATATTTTAATTTTTATACATCAAATTATAATTAAATCGTATCATAATAAATATATATATAATCAATTTTTATATACAAATTATTTTTTTTCAATATATAATATTAAATGTAAATAAATATAATATTTAATTATATATCTTTAAATATTGAATATAACTAATTGAAATATTATTTTATTTACTTTAAATAAAGTTATTTATTATTTTAATATCTTTTTTAATAAATTGTTTATTATTATAATAATTAAAACATAAAAATAATATATTATAAAAAAATTGAGACATAATCGATTATATTTTATTGTTATTATTTTTTTTATGTAAAAAATTTTATACTTTCTTTTATTTTAATATTTTAATTTTTTTTATCGTCCTTCCTCACTTTTCGTGTCTAAATTATTTTTATTCTCTATAAGAAGAACTTAAAATAATAGTAAATAATATACTATGATAATCTAAATCAAACTAATTTAATCTTAATCAAATTGATGTAATTTAATTTGGTTAAAAAGAAAAGGCTAGGGAATTTATCACTTTATTACTCCCAAATCCTTGTCCTATAATTTAATGTAGGTACTATTTACAATAAAATAAAATAGATATCGTTTCGTTATTAGTGTTCTCAGTTATAATTTTGAAGTTTCTAGTTAATTTTAAGTAAAAATATAATATATGTTTAATTTTAATTGTAAAATCTTTGAAGTTAAAAAAAAATAAAACCGGTAAACTGTGATTATTTTGGTTCAAATTTGAAAAAAATTAAAATTAAAATGAATAACTAAACTAATTTAATTAATTTTAAATCATCATTATATTTTTTTCCATTAAGAAGTTGAAGCCGAGGGAGTAAAATATAATAAAAAGAATAAAAATATAATAAAAAATAAAATTATTTGGATTAGAGGAAAAATATATAAATGAATTTTATAATTATTTTGATTGGTTTAAAAGAAAAAAATAATTGCACAATTTAATGAATTATTAAAAAAATAATTAAAATTTAAATACATTAAATAAAAATTAACATGAATGAATAATTTTTTTATATATAATATATGATAAATTATTTATAAGTTGTTTAAAAATGTTTAAAATAATAAAAATTACAGAAAATATTAACGAGTTTGCTTCTCACCCTCACATCTTTTATTTCATAGGTATGACGTAGAAAAGCCTACTTGTCCATGCAAGTACTTATTAAAGTTTAAATACTTATTTTTAAACAATACGTGACTTGATGTAAATAGAAGCTCAGAAAGAATGAACTTACATAAAATAAGAGAACATTTTTTTATTAATTAAATAAAATTAGTTACTTTTAAATTAAAACGTTGTTTTACATTATAAAATAATAATTTGTTTGAAGTTTATTAAAATTTATCTTATTAAAATAAATTTAGGAGTTATTTAATGATTATGTGATATTGTCTTTAGTATAGAAGATGGGAAATGTGATATAATAATTTTAATATATTGTATTCAATTTTTTATTTTATTTTTAAATTGTAAACTCATATGTCCCAGTTATACTTGCTTTGTTTCAATTATAAACATTCTTTGTTTTCCAATCATCTCCCTTTTATTAATTAAAAATCATTATAATTAATTAATTTGTATTATTAATTATAAATAAATGTAAAATTACCTTTTATTTTTTATTTCTAATTAATGATTTGTTATTTTGATTTTATAGTTCATTTAATCTTCGAGTAATGTATTATTGACAACAAGAGTCAATGTGTTTATTTTAAATGATATATGAGGATTTAAAAATATGGATTCAAGGGATATATATCATCTTTTGTAACTTTACATAATTATCCTTCTTTTAATCTTCACTTATTTGATGACAAAGATTCATCCATGCATTCAAGATTTGTTTGTAGTATAGATTCATGACAATACATGTTATGTTTTCCTATTTTGTTGAACATGGACAGAAGTAGATGAGTTATAGTTGAGTGTTGTGTTTATACGTGTGAGGGTTGTGTTTCGTATAGGTCAAGAAATGGTGTTTGATCTCGGTATTAATAACATAATGGAGGGAGAATTCATTCTCCCTTTACCGAAAATTAATTATCAGTGATAATAATGAGATGAAAATCAATTATTCATTATTGAGAATAAATTATAATATAAAATATAATATAATATTTTGTAATTAATATTTAAATACTATAAACAAATAAGTTTAAGTTTAATTATAATATATTCTTATTTGTAATATACTTAAAATTTTTAGTATAAAATATAATATAATATTATTTTATAAGACTAGCATTAATTTAATATTAAAACGTGTTAATATGAAAATAAATTTAAATTTAATTATAATATATTAAAATTTGTATGAAATTATCAGTTATCATAAAATAATAATAATAATAATAATAATATATTAATAATTAAAATAAAAATAATTTAAATAATTATAATATTTTAAATAATATTAATAATAATAATAATTATTATTATTACATTAAATATATTATTAATGATAATGATTTTTTTAATAATAGTAATAATCATCATATTAATAATTAAAATTAAAATAATAATTAAAATAATTATAATATTTTTAATTATAAAAAAATAATAATAATTTTTATTCAAAGAATAATTTAGTTATTTTTAATTTTTTTATTATTTACTTCAATCAATTACAAATTTTAATAAACTTTCATCTTCCTACCCCTTTTACAGTTTTTCCCTTCATCCAATCAATTTAAATTCCACCTCCCTGTGCCATTAAATTTAACCTAATTTTCCCCTTCAGATCCAAGGACTTAAATTTTTTTATTAGGTTAACATTTTGAACTGATGTGTGTGAGATTAACTATTAGTTAACCTAATAAATGGATTTATATAATAGGGTAATGATTAAAATTTATTGTACTTTATATAGCCACGAGAAAAAAACTCATTAAACAAATGAGATAAAAAAAGGTTTCTTTTAATATATTAACCAATTAATGCGTGTATTTGAAAGAATGTGTTAATATAACTAAGAAATGTTTAGATGATTTATTGGTTAGATGAGAAATGCTAGTTTGAAACTCTATTTTTTATCTCCAAAAAATAATAATGTGAGATAATTTTGATAATTTATCCCAATCACTTGCAAAACATATATTTAATTTAATTTTTAAAAAACATGATAAAAAATTATTTAATATTTTTAATAACAAATCTAATTAAAAAAAGCTTAGATCCACTAAAAAAACAAGTCAAATTCTTCTAAATATATATTAACTATTAACAAAAAATAATAAATAGTTTAAACTTAAAACACTGAAAAATACTGTCAGTTTTTTTTTAAAAAGGCTAGTGATTCATTGTTAATTTGAATCACAAATAAGATTTCTTTAAGATTTTGAACACAATTATTTTGATTTATAATTAATGTTGTAAGATTACATTCTGACAAGAAAAAAGAAATTCAGTTAAATACATTTAGATTTTTCCAAAAATTATTTTAATCCCTAACTTAAAAATATTAAACTGGACCAATGTATTTTTAATTCCATCTCTAACTTTAGTATTTTATGAAAATGTATAAATATTCACCAATTTAAAAACATCAAACTACATTCATGACTTTCGATATACAAAAATGAAGACCAATATTAACAGAGTCAACTCATAATTTTGAATTTTTGGTGGAAGATAATCCATTTTCATTTTACTGTTTTGAGGAGTTGGAGCCGAGTGGTTCATCGTGAAAAAAGAAAAGAAAATAAAATAAAGTAAAAACAGAGACATGCATCTGGGTCACACTGCATTCCGCGCATGGTGAGAGGGTGAGAGTGTCGATGTTGTGTTCATTCGCACACGAAAGACAGAACCGCACAAAGATCATGAAAAGAGGGATTTAAATTTCGGAGAAAAACACTCTCTAAAAATCCTCTCTCTCGTGGTTCAATTTCAGACCTACAAATTCGGATTCCAAAAAGAGGGGATTTGAGCGGTTATAATCACATTTTGCAGAAAAAATGGAAGAGGCAAAGGCATTGCATCAGCAACAGCAACAACAACAACAGCAACAAATTCTGTTGCAACAACAACAGCATCAGCATCAGCAACATTATCTGCTCTTACAGCAGTTGCAGAAGCAGCAACATCAACAGCAGCAAGCAGCTGCAATTTCTCGTTTCCCTTCCAACATTGACGCTCACTTGCGACCTATCAGACCCCTCAATCTCCAACAAAACCCTAACCCTAACCCCAATCCCGCTCCTAACCCTAACCCTAATCCAATTCTCAATTTGCATCAGAACCCTAATTCCAACCACCTTCCGCCGCAGCAGCCGCAACAACCGCCGCAACAGCAACAGCAGCAGCAGCAGCAGAAGATTATTCGACCCGGGAACCAGATGGAGCTCCAG